TTTCCACGAAAAGCCTGGAGAGCGCTGTTCGGTAGGATTGTTCGCACGAACAAGGTGACTAATGGCTACCTATGAGCCAGGGAAACCGTACGGTATTTAATTCGTTTTGGGACTCCCAAAAGTGACCGACCGCTACCACTTTTCTCATGGAACTATTTTGGGCAGACTCCACGTGCGCAGTCGGTCAAAGCTTTACCCAGTGGCGATTCGGCTATATTTGTGGGATCTGAGGGCTATTTGGGCACTTTGGGCGTACTATGCGAATGGGCTATACACACTAAGGCTCTAGCATTTTGGGAGTGTGTGAACAAACGTACTTTACGAAGTACATGAGGTTCGTTACAGACATTATTACCTGCTCTACAGGAAAAAAACCCTCTAGACTTCCTTATCCTTCCTTTGTTGTAAGTACCAGTTGAAATATCTGGACATTTTAAACTCTGTGGATCTCTCCTCCCTCTATCAGAGGAACTTTATTCCCATTCAAAACAGGCCACAATCTAATTGTGAAGCAAGGACATATTGTTTGCTAAAAGTAGGAGTTAACATGTACAAAATGAATATTTTGGCTTAGGTTACCTTAGATCATACTTTTTAAGATTCAAAAATGTTCTTCAATTCATTCAAAACCTATTTATTCAAGTATGGCTGTGGAGGAAGGTGCTCTAGACTCAATTTTACTCAATTTTGACAACTTAAGGCCATGAGAACTGCCACAAAAAAACAAAAATTAGCAATCTCCTTAAAATACAGAACTACATCATTGGCAAAATCACAAATTAACCCAGCTAGATGAGGGGAAATACCCAGTCTTTGATGGAGGTTTGGCTGTGTAGATAAAAATCATATGTGCCATCCCATGGTTGGGGCTACCTTGGGTGTGTGGCAATCCATATGAGACACACTTCCGTTATCTACACTCCCAAAGTCCCTGATTACCCAATGGATGAGCCTAAACCCCTGCTTAGGAAGGATCGAAATTACCATTTCTAGGTAGTGTAATATCAAGCATGAATAACATTTTATGTGAAATGAAGGTTTAAGGAGATTGGAAAAGAAGAAAAAGAGGTTTTATAGGGTACAAGAGAAACACAATGAGTAAAGAGAGGTTGTGTAATAGCAAACATAAGGGATGAGGGGGGTAGGAGGATAGAAAGACACAATTCGACGTTACATAGTTACATAGGCTGAAAAGAGACTTGCGTCCATCAAGTTTTTGCAGTTGAACCAAAAAAGGCAAAAAAAAAAACAGTTTGAAGCACTTCCAATTTTGCAACAACCTAGGAAAAAAATTCCCTCTTGACCCCAGAATGGTAGTCAGATTTATCCTTGGATCAAGAAGCTATTACCCTACATTGATAAATTATATCCTTGGATATTCTGTTTTTGCAAGTATGCATCTAGTTGCTGTTTACACATCTGTGCGAACTTTGATAAAACCACTTATTTGTTACATCAGTGCAGGGGCTAAAGAGTTGGCTACTTGCCTACGATGTGGCTTTGAGAGGGTCTTGGAATTTAGCTCTAGGCTAAAGACCCAGTTGGTTTTATAACCGTAAAAAGGTAAAAATTCTAAAAAAGATGTTGAGGTTGATTACAAACTGTTGCTACTCCAAAGGCATTTATACAGAAAACAAACAAATGAAGTGCCTTTATTGTGGCCACTACAGGTAAACTGGCAATCAATTCAACCATTTATAGTGTTTGTCATCATGATGCAGTGTGCCACCCAGCTTCAGGTATTGCCTGGGTGTTTTTTTCTTTTGCTGTGCAAGTAAAGATACAAGTTGGCTTGCAATGCCACAACAGCATGTGCAGGCAATGCATGTTACAGAACAATACAGTGAAATGGCATATGACAATTCTGCACAATTTTTTGATAAAGAATTTTCTTGCTAGATAAACGTGTCTAATTCTATGAGTATATTCTGCATTGAAGATAGGCAAGACATGGTGGAACTGTCTAAGTAATAAATGATAGTTTACATGCTAGGCAGACAAATTATAGTAAAGACCACTGGGGCTGAGCAGACCGCTGTACTATTATAGAAAGTTGTGTGTGACTAAGGAGAAGTGGTTATGGAAAACAGAATGGCTTCAGTGGGTGTCAGAGAAGTTTGGATCATGGGCTGCAAGTGGTAACCTAAACGCTGCAGACTCTTGTATAATCATTGCTGTGTTAGGCTGTGAGTGCCTCTGTGGTGACTTAGAGTGCCTTGATGGCATCGCTGGAGACTTATAGTCTGTTAAAAAATGATACAGCAGGTCTGAATAGGTAATATAATCATAGGCGTGCGCACGGGGTGTGCCGGGTGTGCCTGGGCACACCCTAATCCCCGTGCGCACCCCTATGGTTTGAGTCCTGCAGGAACAGAGTTCCTGCACTCTTTTGAGCAGGAACGCTGTTCCTGCAGGCACTCAGTGCCCCCTGTTTCACCTCTTGCCCCTGTCATTGGAGGGCAAGAGGTGATGATTCCCCCCCCCAACCCTGCAGGTCAGCGCGCGGCGAGGGAGCTCTCTGCTGTGTCCTCTCTGCTCCCTCTCGCCGCGCGCTGATGCCGGGAGCCGGAATATGACGTCATATTCCGGCTCCCAGCTCGAGCAGACAGCCCGCGCGGCGAGAGGGAGCAGACAGCAGAGAGCTCCCTCGCCGCGCGCTGAGCTGCAGAGAGGCGCCCGCCCCACTGGACCCCAGGGACAAGTCCACCAGCACTCCAGGTAGGAGGCTGGGTGGACATTTAAAAAAAAAATTAAAATATAATAATTTGTGTGTGTCTGTGAGTGTGTGAGTATGTGTCAGTGTGTGTGTGTCAGTGAGTGTGTGTGTGTGTCTGTGAGTGTGTGTCTGTGAGTGTGTGAGTGTGTGTCTGTGAGTGTGTGAGTATGTGTCTGAGAGTGTGTGAGTATGTGTGTGTGAGTATGTGTGTGTGAGTGTGTGTCTGTGTGTGTGAGTGTGTGTCTGTGAGTGTGAGTGTGTGTCTGTGAGTGTGTGAGTATGTGTCTGAGAGTGTGTGAGTATGTGTGTGTCAGTGTGTGTGAGTGTGTGTCTGTGAGTGTGTGTCTGTGTGTGTCTGTAAGTGTGTGAGTATGTGTCTGTGAGTGTGTGTGTCAGTGTGTGTCTGTGAGTGTGTGAGTATGTGTCTGTGAGTGTGTGTGTCAGTGAGTGTGTGTGTGTGTGTCTGTGAGTGTGTGAGTATGTGTGTGTCAGTGTGTGTGAGTGTGTGTGTCTGTGAGTGTGTGTGTGTTTCTGTGAGTGTGAGTGTGTGTGTCTGTGAATATATATATACGTATATATATATATATATATATATATACACACACACACACGCGCGGCGTGTGTTTGTGCTTTAGGGTGCACACCCTAATGCAATAGGCTGCGCACGCCTATGAATATAATATAGTCCCATGTTCTCTTGCAGGCATCCCAGGGACTCCTCTGAATGGCATTAAAGCATCCCCTTCCAGGCCTGATGGTCATCCAACTTTGATGCTCGGCAGGCTGAGTAGCTGTTTGGAGAGTTCGCTGGGTGGACCTGCGTTGCAGCATGGCTTCTCACCTCCCCTCCAGGGGTCGCGTGTTTCAGACCGAGGAACCAGTGACTCTCACAGTGGACTCACCGCTGGACTTGCTTTGCGGACTTTCAGCGTGGTGGGTGGTGTGATTTCTCCCCACAGGAGCTCCCGTGTAGGCCGCAGCCTCCGAAGCCTCGTGCTTCCCTCATGGGACCTGAAACCCCCAATCTCGGGGACTGCCGCCTCTTCCACCACCTTGTGGCTGTCTCGTGGGCTCAGTTCAAGTACCAGAGCTGCAAATTGTAGCCTAAGAGGTCAGATTTCTCCGGAGCCTCAAAAAGAAAAATACAATATCCACATTCGAGACAAAACAAGACGATTCCCTATAAATGCTGATATAGTCTGGATAATGTGGAAAGCTAAACTTTGTTGATCTGTCTTAGAACCAAAAGTATAGGAGTCAGGGTAATTACTAAAGCAAAGTTGCTTTTCTCTGGCTGAAAAACAACTCAGTTAGGATTCCTACGAAAAAAAATGCTTTATTGTGAATTGGCCAAGCTATGGGGCATACTAAGGGTTAATTGAATCCAGTTAGCAAGGTAAAGGTAGATAGTCAGTTTCAATAATAAGTGTTCACTGTGATATGTGAAGTAGTATGAAGCAAGGCTGATATACATCAAAGATAGTGGATATTTTCCATCGGGCATATACCACATAATAGTATCTTAGTTTAGTAATGTCTAAAGCAGCACTTTTAGTTAGTTAAAGAAAATGCAGCATAGAGATAAGATACAGCCTCTCTCTCCCTGTTAAGCTTACTAGACAGTCTGAGATTAGAAAAAGAAAAGAAAGATAAAGTGCTATTAAAATTATACTATGTTAAATATTGTATAGTACACCAAAGTGACCCTGTGAGATAAGAAAATAGCCCGACACACGTTTCGGTGCACTGCGTGTACACCTTCATTGGGGATAAGGGGTACACTGACTCTGCATCAACTTTTAAACTTTCAGACCCACGTGGGGTCCTTAATTGGCAGCCAATCCAATGGTGCCGTTTTAATTGTAATTAAGCAATTGCGGAATGCTTAATTTTGTTATGGAACAGCCCCTGTTCAGCAGCCAATTAGTAATTCTAGTACTGATCTTGACGTTCATATATGAATTAGCAGTTATTCTGAGATCACTGTTTAACCCCTTGTTGTGAGGAGCACATATTAGATCTTATATTGGAGTTAATAAATCGTGTGGAATTCGTTTTCACTATGAATATAAATTATGCTTGGCAGTCTATATGATAAGTGGAGTATTGCTCAGGCAAGAAATAAAGATTGGATACCATTTGATTTCATCAGTATCTATTTCAGTCCTAATTAATTACCTGCTGTTATATGAACCACTTCCTATACTGTTCATAGTGTATCATGTTTTTGTCTATACTTAGATGGATCAAACGATCCAAAAATAACCTTATTGATATTATCCACCTTGGAGTTATACTTAAAACTATACATGTAACCAGAAATGACTATCCAAGGGGCAGAAAGAAATTAACCATGGCACTGCCGATATGTGGTGCCGTTATGTTCCCTGTTTACATTATACTGTAATAAGTTATTCGTCATTATATTTACAATGATAGTTAAACTCTATGATGAAATAAAGTTTAATTAATATGTTTAGAGTTACACAGTCATTGGTTAATAGATATTGATACACCAAGTATTCAGGTTCTGTGAGTAAAGCCACTCCAGATCACCTAACAGTGCACTCTCATACTAGACATAGAGGTATCATAGGATCATGCATATGCATTTAGTTATGTCATGTTGTTATGTACTATAGTTGTAATCGGTGTATGTATATGTTGACGCCAGGAGATCTTGACAGAACCTAAATCAAAGAAGCAGTACTCTCGCCCACAGGAATACACACACAGACACTGATGAGTATGTGTCTGTCTGTCAATATATATGCCTGTGTGTCTGTATATGTGTGTATGTCTTAGTATGTGTGTGTCAGTATGTATGCCTATACGCGTGTATGTCTGTTTCAGTATGTGTCTGTTAGTATGATACACACACTGATACAAAAGGACACAGATACATACTAACAGACACATACTGAAGCAGACATACACGCGTATAGGCATACATACTGACACACACATACTAAAACATACACACATATACAGACACACAGGCATATATAGTGACAGACAGACACATACTAACATACATACAGATACACATGCATGAGGACATACAAACACATACATACATACACACTGACATACAGACACCGACATACATTCATGACATACAAACATATATACATACAGACATACTGACAGACAAACATGCATTCAGACACTGACATCATACATACACAGACACACATTCTTAATGGCATACAGACATACATTCATACTGGCATACATGCATATATACAGACATACATACATACATCCATACACACATACGTTCATAATGACATGCAGAAATACATTCATACTGACATACAGACATATATACATACATACATCATGACATACAGACATACATTGATACTGGTATACATACATGCGTACAGACATACATTCATAATGACATGCATACAGACATACATATATACATACTGACAGACATACATACAGACATATATAAATACATACTGACAGACATGCATACAGACATGCTTTGATACTGGCATACATACATACATACATAATGACATAAAGACATACATTCATACAGACATACATACAGACATTCATACAGACAGACATGCATACAGACATGCATACATACATGCATACAGACAGACAGACATGCATACAGACAGACATGCATACAGACAGACATGCATACAGACACTGACATCCATACATACACAGACATACATTCATACTGGCATAGATGCATATATACAGACATACTGACAGACATACATTCATAATGACATACATACAGCCATACATGCATACATATATACATACTGACATACAGACATACATTGAGACTGACATACATACATAATGACACACAGACATACATTCATACATACAGACATACATTGAGATTGGCATACATACATACATACATAATGACATACAGACATACATTCATACAGACATTCATACAGACATACATTGATACTGGCATACATACATACATAATGACATACAGACATACATGCATACAGACACACACACATCTAATTTTTCAGCCACCCTCCTGTCTCATACCTTTTCTTTGCAGGAGGGTGGCTGGGGCTGATAGGAGTCGGCTGGCTCTCCCTCTTCCCACGCGGAGTGAGCTGGGAGGAAGTGACCACTTCCTCCCAGCAGCACTTGATGCGGCTGCGCTTTTTTGTTTTTTTTTTTTAAAGGGGCCTGGTCGCGCTATTACACGGCCACAGCGCTGACCGGGCCCCTGAAGGTATAGTGGCCCTAAGTGCGTGCAATGATAATAAAGTAAAATAAAGCATATCCTCTTGATGTTAGAGTGAGACAGCTAGAGTATATAAATAAAGACTTGAAAAAAAAAATTTGGAGTGTGGAGTAAATTAGCTTTTATGCTTAAGGTTAGTGAAAGGAGCAGAGGGTACTGTTGTGAGATACTGGGTACTGTTCTCCAGAGCCTCTCCTGCATGTGACCGGTCAGCCTGGTGGTCCGGGCCCGCCCCGCCCCCCTGCCTGGGTCTTTAGCACTATTCAAAACTCCAGGAGAACCAGCCTGTAACACATAGACTCAAACAATAAAACATTTTAATTAAAAAATTTATTAATTTAGAAAAACTGACTTTTTTGACAACTTAAACTACCCATATTTGTTGAGGATATTTAAGAATACTATCAGATTTCCAACACATAGTATAATGTGGCCCAAAATGCTTAGTCATGCTTTCTTTAAATACGACATTGATACGTTGGAATCTTTGATAGCTTTTATTTGCTTCATTCACTAGTTTATATGAACCATTAAATCATTTGTTAAAACATTATTTTTGCTCATTACACTTCTCATATTTAGACAAAAATGAAAGCCTTGTAATATTTGGCTAACACTGCATATATTGATAACCTCTGCTCATTATCTCCCTTTGTCCTGTCCCTCTATTGACACAATGCTGTTAGAAAAACTTTCCACCAAAATGTTTTCGACCTTTTTACTCTTTCAGCAACATCAGACAAGAAGCATTTTTTGCACAATCTGGACCAATATTATAGGTTTGAGTATTCTTTAGTAATTGCTTTTATTCTTCTTTTTATTCTTCTTTTTCACCTTCAAGAATACATTTTTTTTTTTGTGCTTCTACATCCAGGATTATTTTAGACCTCTCGAAATTTAGCTTGATTCTTGGAAATGATCCGCTATCTTCATTTTTTCATCCAGAGGAGATTTAAGTTGATGGTCCTGCTACTCCTTTTTCTCACCTTCATTATGCACTTTGCTTTAGATATATCCTCATATTCCATCATTTCTTGCCCCTGTTCTTCTGACAACCACCCCAGAAGTAAGGTTCACCATGTTCGAAAACCTCCTCCTGCGAGGGCACTGCAGGACATTAGCAGCAACAGCAATAGTTCCACACATGTATCTTCGATGGACATCATTCTAGGGATTAAGGAAAAGCCTGCTGAATTCAAGATTTCAAAGAAATCGGCAAAAGAATATTCTGGTTCAAAGCTGGATGCTCTCTTCCGTCACCCTCTGTATAAGACCCGTATGCCAACAATAAAGGAAGAAGACAAACTATTTAAAGTTAATCCTAATGAAAAATTTACTCTGAAGGGCAGTGGGAGTGACGAATGGTGAGCAGAGTTAGATTTTTTTTGTGCTATCAAAAAATAATAAAAAGGTGAGAATATCAAATTGGTTTCCTGAATACAGTGGAGAGAATCTCTTTTGTGCTTGCATAGTAACAGGTACAAAGTTTGATAGAGTCAAAGCTTGAGTTTTTCGCAAATTTATAGTTATATAAACCTTTGTGTGAAGAGGTACAGTGACACCAGACCTCCTTGCACCACAACTTATCCAAGAAGCATAGGCTGTTGTTGTATTTAGACTGTCCCTTACATTTTCTGGCCTGTTACACATTTAGCTATTTTATAGAAGAACTGTACAGTACGTATAGTAAGATCATTGTTACAGTTAACTCATTTTTATTTTTTTTTTTATTTTTTTTACATTTCATCAAAGTGTGTGTGTGTGTGTGTGTGTGGGTGGGTGTATGTGTGTGCGTGCTGAAGGGTTAAACAGATGGAAAATAATAACTGAAGCTGTATTCTGATTGGTAAAAATCCCAAGCAGGCAAATAAAATCTTGATGGAATCTACATCACTGGTAGTAAACTAGTAACATAAAATGTATGGATGAGAATGCTGTCTACTGACTGCAAAATAAACCTAGGAACATTCTATAATTTTACATGCTTAATGCTTGCTTTTTCTAAAATGCGTGGACTGACATATCTCAGGTTGCCACGCTCAGCAGCTGTGTCAAAGAAAGAGATTATTGTTTTTAGCAGTAGAATCTTGGTTTTCCACCTAATATCATCAGAGTGAATGACATGAAATAACAATAATTAAGTTCTGTTCCACTAAAATTAGTTTTCCCTTGTAATCTGGAACTTAAAAAAATGCTCAATTCTGAAATACCATGTGTGCTTGTTATTTTTACTATGTCAGTAAGCACCGACCATTTCAAACGTGTAAAAAGAGAGGTAAGGATAAGATGTGTTTCATGTAAGGGAAAAGTAGGTTGCTATAAGAGTTTATATTGAAGTCTTCGATTTTTAGGTGACACAGTTGCAGAAGAAGAATCAAGGTTCAAAGTTAGTGAGGTGTGGGGAGGGGAAACTGTTAACAGTTTCATTGATATTCTTGGAGAAGTGAGTTCTCTGTGATTTCTTTTTTTAAGGAATGGAGACTGGGTGAGAGTCTAATAGAGCGGGGACGGGAGTTCCATAGGAACAGTGCAGTCGTAGAGAAGTCATGAAGGTGGGGATCAGTGGTGCGAGTGAAGAGGATAGACGAAGGTCTTTGGCCAACCGTAGAAACCTGGATGGCACATACTTGTGTGCTAGGGAGGACAGGTATGTTAGGAGCAGTGTTATGAAGTGATTTCTACAAGCCTACTTTTCTGCTGGCAATAAAAGCTGACTTTTTATTTGACCTTCTGTCCTCTGCTCACGAAAGCAATATGTTTTTATCCAGAACATGTTTCAGTTTTCTCATGATGTGAGACTCGATCAATACACTGTGTGAGTTATGCTCTTTGACTCAAACAGCTTCACGTTTCTCAAAGGAGAATATTCTATCATTAAAAGCCAAGCATTCTGCAATCTAGTCATTTATTCTAGTTGGACCATTAAAATGCCTGATAATGTTTTTTTTAACTTTCAACAATGAAGTCACTGTATTTGAGTAGGAATTCAATGACTTTATGATCGATTGTAGTAGGATAGAACCCCAAATACACAATAACATAAGCAGGCAAAGAAGCTTTACAAAATGTATGTCATCTCTTCGATGCATACTAAACTATCTATAAAGATTCCTTTCATTACAGAGGAATACATTACAGGGAACACAAATCACCTGGTAGCCACCAATAGTCCATGCATCTAGTGTCCCTAGCTAAGGTACCTGAAACTATATAAATTAATAGAACAGTTAAGGGTTGCCAAGCTAGTTTCTGTAATGGTACTTACCCGGTCCGCGAGCCGGCAGGGGACCTCTGATCGAGTCACACAAGCACTCCTGCCTCCAGGCGAGCCCCATGTGGCTCGGAAGCTCCTTACTCCTGGCAGTGCAGCTAGCGCCGAACACTCTGATCGGGCGCGCTTCCCGTACAGTATTGGGAACGTTGCTCACATTGTGAACACGTTCTTAAAGGGGAAATGGGAACCTTACCTTGCGGTTGGCTCCCATTGGCCCACGTCATTTTGGTGCCCCCATTCACACAAATTTTGGGGCGCAGTCATGACGTGGACAATCAAATTAAAAATAAAGGTATTTAAACTTACCAGGCCCTAGATTCTGTGCCCTTTTGTGGTTTCTGTTCCCAGTACCCTTTGGTGCGTTCCTAGTAATTTGTATTGTATTCTGGTATTGACCTCGGCTTCGTTTCCTGACTCTGAGTTTCTCGTTAACCCTTGCCTGTCTTGTTTGCTCTTCTGATTATTACCGTGTATCTGACTCTGGCTGGTTCTCGTATTCGCTGTCTCTTCGTTACCCTGACCTTGGCTCGTATTTCGACTTCGCTTTTCTCTGTCTAAAGTTAAGTCCGGCCACTCTAAGGCCGGTAAGATGTTTATATTTCTTTTGTCTGTTCTGGCTATCCTTTACTCTGCGTGTTATGGTTACACTCGGTGACAGTTTCTTTATTTTTACACACACACACACACACAGTGGTGGTTCTAGGCCTTAGGTGAAACTCAAACATGAGGCAAACAGTTGTGGAAAAATTGTGTGTCTGCATTGCATGTGTTTGTATTAGGAGCTGTATAGTGTGTTTTATATATCTATATCGGCTGAAGTGAATGTGTGTGGTATGTATCTATAGGGGCTGTAGTGTTTTGCATAGGGGTGCATTGTGTGTGCATAGGGATGTAGCATGTGTGTATAGGGGGTGTAATGTGTGCACATGGGGATATAGTATGTGTGTGTATAGGATATAGTGTGTGTATAGGGAGTGTAGAGTGTGTATATTATTTGTGTATAGGGAATATAGTATATGTATCCTCTTCTGCAACTGTCATTAGTCTAATACTATCCTTACCTTTTTGTGTCATTTTACCCCACTCCCTCTAGCATGTAAGCTCATTGAGCAGGGCCCTCAACCCCTTTGTTCCTGTGTGTCCAACTTGTCTGGTTACAAATACATGTCTGTTCGTCCACCCATTGTAAAGCGCTGCGGAATTTGACGGCGCATTATAATTATCATAATATTAATAAAAATAATGTATACAGTGACAGCCTTGAGTCTTTAGTAAAAACAAAAGGGAATTGGGGCAAACCCAGACAATGCATCATGTAGGAATGGTGCAGCCGTAGTGACCAAAATTTATACATACTACAGATTAAGGAACAGCGCACTCATAAAATACATTTTCAAATTCTATAAGGCTACTTAAAATCACTTATCTCAGCAAACAAATATGGGGCTTCAAGTTCCACCTTATGCCCATATTGTGTTAAGCCCATTACTTCTTCACAGTACCCCAATATCAGTGGGTCTTACATTAATTCCAACGGGAGGGACAATTCAAATATTGCTAAATAAGCTGACATGTATTTACTCACAGTTTTTTATTTACCCCAAAACAAACATTAGAAATCTTGATGAAACAGGTATTAAACTTGTATGTGCAATATATGCATAATTATTATTAAATAAAACAGAAATAAACAAATGTTTGGCCCTGTTTAGCATGCAGCCATTTTCAGAGCCAGAATAATAATTACAGTAAAAATGAAAATCCAGCGCACTCACTTATCTACTAAACAGTCATTTTAATGCTGAACAATTTTCAGTTTTATTAAAAACACCTAATCTAGGCAAAAAATATAATGGGGGTTTAGTTACAGTATATGATCATACATTGCATAAGCCTGCCACAACGCCAATGTACCCCATCTTTGGCAGGTCCTACTCTGTCTGCTAAATGAGCTTCTCACTTGGGGAAATCCTTCCATATCGAGATCTCTGCAGTACAAGGCTTAAATAGGGTCCTGAGATGAGGCACCTGTAACAGGGAGGGGTGCAAAACCCATGGAGCTGGCTAGACTCCTAAATATATACATATATGAGAAAATAAGGGTTTGTCTGCACTCACCTACACACAGTGAGTACAGCCAAACCCTTATTTTCCCAGAATAATAATTAAACATAATAAGGGTATGTACCGGGAGTGCAGAATTATTAGGCAAATGAGTATTTTGACCACATCATCCTCTTTATGCATGTTGTCTTACTCCAAGCTGTATAGGCTCGAAAGCCTACTACCAATTAAGCATATTAGGTGATGTGCATCTCTGTAATGAGAAGGGGTGTGGTCTAATGACATCAACACCCTACATCAGGTGTGCATAATTATTAGGCAACTTCCTTTCCTTTGGCAAAATGGGTCAAAAGAAGGACTTGACAGGCTCAGAAAAGTCAAAATAGTGAGATATCTTGCAGAGGGATGCAGCACTCTTAAAATTGCAAAGCTTCTGAAGCGTGATCATCGAACAATCAAGCGTTTCATTCAAAATAGTCAACAGGGTCGCAAGAAGCGTGTGGAAAAACCAAGGCGCAAAATAACTGCCCATGAACTGAGAAAAGTCAAGCGTGCAGCTGCCACGATGCCACTTGCCACCAGTTTGGCCATATTTCAGAGCTGCAACATCACTGGAGTGCCCAAAAGCACAAGGTGTGCAATACTCAGAGACATGGCCAAGGTAAGAAAGGCTGAAAGACGACCACCACTGAACAAGACACACAAGCTGAAACGTCAAGACTGGGCCAAGAAATATCTCAAGACTGATTTTTCTAAGGTTTTATGGACTGATGAAATGAGAGTGAGTCTTGATGGGCCAGATGGATGGGCCCGTGGCTGGATTGGTAAAGGGCAGAGAGCTCCAGTCCGACTCAGACGCCAGCAAGGTGGAGGTGGAGTACTGGTTTGGGCTGGTATCATCAAAGATGAGCTTGTGGGGCCTTTTCGGGTTGAGGATGGAGTCAAGCTCAACTCCCAGTCCTACTGATTTTCATGCAGGACAATGCTCCATCACACGCGTCCAAGTACTCCACAGCGTGGCTGGCAAGAAAGGGTATAAAAGAAGAAAATCTAATGACATGGCCTCCTTGTTCACCTGATCTGAACCCCATTGAGAACCTGTGGTCCATCATCAAATGTGAGATTTACAAGGAGGGAAAACAGTACACCTCTCTGAACAGTGTCTGGGAGGCTGTGGTTGCTGCTGCACGCAATGTTGATGGTGAACAGATCAAAACACTGACAGAATCCATGGATGGCAGGCTTTTGAGTGTCCTTGCAAAGAAAGGTGGCTATATTGGTCACTGATTTGTTTTTGTTTTGTTTTTGAATGTCAGAAATGTATATTTGTGAATGTTGAGATGTTATATTGGTTTCACTGGTAATAATAAATAATTGAAATGGGTATATATTTGTTTTTGTTAAGTTGCCTAATAATTATGCACAGTAATAGTCACCTGCACACACAGATATCCCCCTAACATAGCTATAACTAAAAACAAACTAAAAACTACTTCCAAAAATATTCAGCTTTGATATTAATGAGTTTTTTGGGTTCATTGAGAACATGGTTGTTGTTCAATAATAAAATTAATCCTCAAAAATACAACTTGCCTAATAATTCTGCACTCCCTGTATTATGATCAATTATGGGGCACAATTCTCAAAATGGAGCAGCAACACTCCAATGGTTTCGATGGTGATTACATTTTTCACTGTTACTACAAGTTACTCTTAGAAGGTTACTCCAAGCATCATAACCAGAACAGCCTATTGATGGGAATATTGATAGTTAATGTTAGCCTGAAGACTATGTCCCATGCTGCTTGGCCGCATTAAATGTATAGGAGAACAACTTCTGTAGAAACAGGATGCAGATCCTGCCGCTCATTCAACCGGCTGAGTTCGTCAGCTGAATTGTCGTTAGATTACAGGGCTGGCAGAATTGTCACTAGCTTACCGGCTGTCTAATGAAAAAGCAATGGCTTGCCATATGTGGAGTTACACCTCTGGCAGCAAAGTGCTTAAACTCCTTATACAGATCTAGGCACCATGACCACTTCAAATTACTTAAGTTTTGTATTTTAATAAAGGCTATGTTTATTAAAAGCTTCCATATCTACTTTAAAGACTTTGTCTTTCATTCCCAATTGCACATTTACTTACTTTTACACGATTTCACTCAATGCCTAACTTACTTCCGTTATATCTTTCTTCAGGGTCAGTGCTGATATGCAGTTTGTCCTTCCAACAGGGGAAACACCAGAGGACACTTACCCTACATGGCTGAAGTTTCACATAGGGATCAATCGTTATGAGCTATACCCAAGACAAGATCCACTCATTCCTATTCTGTTAAAAGATTTGTCCTCGCAGCGTATTCTGCAGTCAGGTAATAAACTTTCCAATCAACTCTTTGTCCAATTGCAGTTTATTGTCCAAAATATTTTAACTATTTTTATTTTATTTTATTAATACCCCTAAATGCTATGACACTTGTTGATGAAATGTACACTGATCAGTCACAACATGAAAACCACCTGCCAAATATTGTGTAGGCCCCCTCGTGCTGCCAAAATTGCTCTGATGTGTCGAGGCATGGAGTCCACAAGACCTCTGAATGTGTCCTGATACCTTTGTCAAAGTCACTCTGATCTTTTCGCTTGCCCATTTTTTCTGCTTCCAACAAATGAGATTCAAGGCTGATTAGTATATATGAGAGTTATTAGTCTGTGTTTAAAAATCTTAACATTTTCGATGGGAAAAGTAAATTGGAACTTGCATATTTTATCTCAACAATTCTTAAAAAAAAAACACGCTGTATACTTTGTAGTGGGAAGAAATAGAAAATGAATAAAACAAAGGGTAAACACTAAAAAAAGAGTTATAGAAATAGACATTTTAGTACATTTAACATTACCAAGTATCATTATTAGTCTCATTTGCATCATCAGTACATAGAATAAATACTATGTTAACTGATACCCTAACCTTTGGAATGATTATGCCATGACACTTTGTCTGCATTTAAATGCACATTTTGCTCATCTCCTTATAGTCCAGATACCTGGTGGGACACAGCTCAAACTACTGATGACTTTCCCGAACTATGGACAAGCCCTCTTCAAACCCATGAAGTGAGTATGGGAAGAGAAATAGGAAATAGGAATGGGAGGCTGTTAATTATTGAGTCCAGATGCTGTACATGACACAGGAATTTTAAGACTATATATTTCTCTCTTCATTTTCCTGTCAAGTAAGCATGTACCTTATTCACATTAGCTAAAAATAACTCATCTTGAACAGTTCTTGTACAAATGTGTAAAACTGAAAAGCTGTTCTAGAAACATGTTTGGGTATGGCAGCATGATGACAGATGAGGGGGCTATATGGAACAATGTGTGCCATGTGAAGGTAAAATATTTACACAATGAAGAATATGATATTCTCACGCTTATTTTCAATAAAAAGAGGAAAGCTGAACTACAACTCTCATAACTCCCTGATGTTTATATTCTCAGGATAAGACAGCTATATTTGTTGATGTCACATACAACTGTATTATTAGGGGGAAAGGGGCAATGCTGGATGGGGGGTGGGGAAATAGGATGGTACCAGCATTACATCAATGAATGTTAAATTAAAACCCGCGCACGTAATTGCATCACATACACATATTGGTTGCTAAATACTAGGCAGGTTGACAGGCACGTCGACACATCTTCTTACTCCTATTAAGAGTCACAATTTTCCATTTGAAAATATATCAGCTTGCAATGTTCTATTATAGAATTACATATATAACAGGGCAATTCTATTGATTTTTGCACTAGTGCAGGATTAGGCAACGTTCGGCACCCCAGATGTTATGGATTATATCTCCCCTTGATATTTCAGCATTATGTCCATGAGAGAATTACGGGAGATGTAGTCCACAACATCAGGAAGGCTGAAGGTTTCCTACCCCTACAGTTTGAGATTACCAGGTCCAGCAATATATTATCAATATATATCAATTCATAAATATATTTTTCCCTTTGTAGTAGCTACAAAACAAGAATTCTGTAAACACATTACATGATTCTAGTATGACATGAAGGTCATTTATTTCATGTCAATCTGCAAATTATACTAATTTATACTATTTGAGGATAGATAACTTTGGCATCTCTTCTTACAATCACACGTTTCTGAGAAATCAGTATGTATACTGCCAATATCTATGTATTTGTTCCAGGGCAGAGTGGGTATGCATGGCTCATTTCTGATTCTAAAAGACTAGTTTATTGGATATATTCCCTGGGCAAAGCAACAGTTCTCACATATTATGGCTCAAAAAGCTGCCAGCTCTGAATAGGCTATTGATCACATTTTCTTTCGTGACTAATAGAATAATAAAACATGTCAAAATTATTTGGTTTGTTCTGGATAAAAATCAATAAATGCAATGAAACATTTGCAGTGTAAATTTAGAATGTAATAGAATTAGAAAAATAAATCAACATTAAAATAGAATTGAAAGGTACTTCCTTTTTAAATTTAAATGACTTGAATTACAGCCCTTTGCTGTGTTAATAGCACATGGCATGCTTCTTAGGAAGGCAAAAGGCTGAATTGGCAAACAATACAATGTGATATTTTTAAGTCAAAATAGAATCCTTCACTACTCAGTATTCAGGAGGAGCCCTTGTGGGGGAGATCCTGTGGCATTTTTGTTGATTTACTGGGTCTCGTCTGATAGATCTTGACCCTGGTAGAGTAGAGCAAAGTCAGATATCGCCAGGTCAGGAATGGAGAGATGCTGATAGTCATCAGGTCAAAGATCTCTCCACATAGGATTATCTAAAACAGGTAGAAACTGGCATAGGTAGCAATGGGCATATTTCAATAGGAGAACATACAAAACCATTATAATGCATTTTCACAAGGTGGAATGTGAGAGTTGCATTAGACTACTTGCAGACTCACAAAGAAGATGCTGGGGTATCCTATGCAGGGCCGTCTTTCATATTGATTTGACCTTGGTCAAGCATTTGCTTGGGCCCCCTGGACCCTGCCCCCTCACCCCCCACTTCATGGCATGCAATCAAGCCCCCCACCCCAGCAGAGACAGATATAAAGTAGAGAGGGCCCTAGTGCCTATTGCAAAGGTGGCCAAAAGGTAGATCCTCATCTGTCGTGCAACTCCAACAATGCTTTGACAGCTGGGGTCTACCATTTTCCCATGCATGCAGGGTTGTATTTAGCACTGAGCAGTGTTTGCGTTTAAATTTAAGCATGTTTGTGTATGAGTATGTTTGTGTGTAGTGTTGGCGTCTGACACACACACACACACACACATACAGGCATACTGGCTGACACACACACACACACATACAAACTGGCACACACACAGATGCATACTTGCACACACATAGACAGACATACTGACACACAAACAGACAGACATACTGGCACACACACAGACAGACTGGCACACACACACAGACATACTGACACACATACTGGCACACACACACAGACATACTGACATGTACACACACAAACACATACTGACACACACACAGACGTACTGACACACACAGACATACTGGCACACACACAGACATACTGACACACACACAGACGTACTGACACACACAGACATACTGGCACACACACAGACATACTGACACACACAGACAAACATACTGACACACATACTCATACACACACACACACACACACACTTTTAAAGCCAGTTTCCTACCTTTGCTGGTACCTTTCCTGGGGTCCAGTGTGCTGGCTGGGGTGCTTGGGAGTTGGGGTCTTGCTCTGCTTGTTGGCTCTTACACTGCCTCCTGGCTCTGCCTCCCTCCCACGTGGCTCATCTTCTCTGTGGGAGGAAGTGACTCACGGTCGTCACTTCCTCCCATGCTGCTGTAAAGGGGCCCGGTCGTGCTGTTAAAGGGCCACAGCGCCCGACCAGGCCCCTACTGAAACATGCTCACTGGGTGACCCTTAGAGTGTGGGCCCCCGATGCAGCCGCAATACCAGAATTTCTTTTTTTTTGCTGGATGCGGGCAGCGGGGCCCGGGGCAGCTGCCTTGCTTGCCCCGTGCTAAAGACGGCCCTGATCCTATGACCTATGTTATAGTATGGGCATGACAACTCATCAGTAATCTTCAATCTTTAGTAATCTGAGAAATAGCACAGAGACTAAAATATTATTACATATATGTACCTCATGAATATGTGCATTATAGGAAAGTATATACCTATAGATGGTCTTTTCATGGATATGTTTTGAAGTATCAGTGTATTCACTTGTTTTTCTTAGACAAAGTCGAGACCAGGAGACCCCTGAAGACTTTTTTTACTTCTCAGATTTTGAAAGACACAATGCAGAGATAGCAGCATTTCACCTGGACAGGTACAAAGCAGACTATTAACGTATGGTTTTCCTTACTGTAGTTATAATGGTTTTTCATGTTCACAATTATAGTGATAGATATCTAAGTTTACAATGATAAAAAAGTTTCAACTCCAAATACAGCTTTAGAACATTTTTTTTGTTTACATCCCATGAAGGATTCTGGATTTCCGCAGAATTCCACCTGTGGCTGGACGCCTGGTGAATATCACTAAAGAAGTCAGAGATATCACGACAGACAAGAAGTTATATAGGACTTTTTACATATCACCAGGTGAGGCGGATATCTTGCACAACGCATGAAATGAATTTGGTTTTATATGAATTGATATATGTATATATTACATCAAAGGCTTTTCGGAAGGTTAAATCTTAACCGCTTCTAAGATGTGCTGGACCATTGTTTTCAGTTTGGTATGCTTTACACCTGGTTTGCAGGACCAGGGTCACCATCTCTGCAGAATAGCTGGAAACATTCCGCTGTCTACTTATTTTCACTTAGCTTCAAGGTTGGCTCCAGAATTCAGGTTATGTTAGCCAAGTTTGGTAGAGACTGGAATTGTTTCATTTAAGTTACGTTGTTTTTATCCATGGTTTTGTAGACGGAAAGTGTTGTGGAAACGACATCGTTTGAACTTGGTTCAGTCTACAGGTGTTCTTTCAGCATGATTTAGCCTGCACATATTTATTGTTACCTGTAGTTAAACTGTGATTAAGTCAAATGTGCTTGTTATAGATTACATTATAATGGGAATGCAAAAATTTGATTAGAAATGTATAGCACGGCTCTAAGCATTCCTTAGAAGGATAGAGGGTTTAAACCCCCAGATTTTGTGGCTTTTTTAGGCCTCTTCAGATAGTAGAGAGGATAGGAGTACATTTGTTTTGTTTTTTTTTGTTTTTTAATTCACGTCAAGTTGCTGCTTCTCAAAGGCTCTTATTCTAAAAAGAATGATCTGTAGTGTAGTTCACTCTCAATCTGTGGAGGGGCTGCTGTACCCTAGTTAAATATTGAAAGAGGGTGCTGAAGAACAGACATTTGCTGCACAACCTTCTGTTAGTGAGGCAGTGTGACAGGATGGCAATGAATACCTGGCTGTGTAGCATGTGCCTGTTTCTGGCTATACTTTTATTGAGGTAATGGAGAGATTCAGGAGCATGCTGTTCATGGGTAGAGAGGATAGGACATATCATAGAAAGAACATAGAAAGGCAGTGATATATCATAACATATCTCCATATCACTGCTAGTGTAGGGGTCATTTAATTTCCTTTGGGTTGAAGCCCCAGGTGTTTCTGAAATCTAGGAATGTCCCTCTATACAGGTAAACAACAGTTATGTTAGATTTACACATAGCCAATCTAAAATGGAACACACCACTAGATTTAGATAATGGTTTTGGGACCCCCTCCATGACTTATACATCACATTTCCTATTCAGAAAATCTCTGCATGGAGATTCTTACCTATATTGACTAGATACAAATATTTGATCAGCAGTACTTTTAAGAATGTAAAACAACTCCAAACAACAAAGTGCAAGTGACACAAGGTGTTAAAGTGACGCTAGAGATATAAATAGGTGCGACTTCCCCAGTGTTTAAAAACCACTTCAAAAACACTTATTAAAATAGTATAAACAAAAGTAGAGATAGGGACGCAACTTTAAATGTAATAAGAAATTAAGTGGACCATACCTATTAATAATAGAGAGGACTTGAAAACAGGTCTGCAAGGAGGCACACCTGGTTCCAGTCCTATTACCCTAATGGAAATAAGTAAGTAAAGGTAATTGGCAAAAAGTGCCTAATTCTAAATTACCAATTACCTTTACTTAGTAATTGCCATTAGGGTAATAGGACTGGAACCAGGTGTGCCTCCTTGCAGACCTGTTTTCAAGTCCTTTCTATTATCTCCTTTCTCTGGGTTAGGCCCTGTATTACCCCACAACCACTAATAAATTTGGTGGGACCTTTTCTCTCTCCAATTTTGTATATCCCAATACCTATTAATACTTAAGTATTGTCCACTTATTTTCTTATTACATTTAAAGTTGCGCCCCCTATCTCTACTTTTGTTAGTACTTTTAAGAATGATGGAGGAAATGTGTTATTTTATACTTTATACTTACTTTCTTTATAGTGTAAAGGAATCAAGAAATTGTTTAGGTGATTTATTCCTTCAAATATGTGCCCCCTCCCACCACCTTTGGATACATTTTTAGATAACTTTTGACAATGGTACACAAAGCTGAGGCATTTTTCTGGTTCCCAATCTTTACTTTCCTCCTTTTCCATGTTTCTTCTTAAATCTCTGTTATTTACCTTCTCCGCCAGTTTGAGGGAAAGTTGGAGTAATGTTGAGATGGCTCAAAAACATATACCAATGAAGTCCTGCCCTTTTTCTGTAAATTGGTTTCTAAAGTGAATGTAATCTTGTTGCATCTGTCTGTATACACAATTATCCCACTAAATACCCAATGGACTCTGGAAAAGTCTACTAAAATGTGTGGATGAAATTATGTGTACTATATCTTATATTACAAAAAGAGAATCAATCTGCTTATTCTATGACTGAAAAATGGGTCATCAATTAAGTTATCTGAGTCCCTGTTAATAACAGTTAAGTATTGAAAAAAGTAAAATATAATCCCCTGGAATTTCTTCAAAGTAGTTGTTCCAGGTCTATTATATATATGGTTATAACTTCTATGTGCCTATACATGATAGCATTATTATTAAAACAAGTAGAGTAATAGCAAAAAGTATAACCCATTCCGGCAGAAACCTGGTTGTGTGTACAAATAAATAAAAAAAGTAATAGGAGTTGATACAAATCACAATGGTACCATGCAAAAACTGACATAAATCATAAAAATAGCCACAACCATGTTATTATGATGCAAGATGTATTTATAATATTTTTATAGAATTTTCAAGGGCTTACTAGGAAATCAGCATATAAAAATGCACAATATGAATATGTCAGCATCAAGCTTTTATTTATCTCATCGTAAGTGTGTGCAATGTTTTAAATAAAAGTACAATTTGTGTAAATAAAATAAAAACCTAACATAGATCCAAAGCTGTTTTATAAAATGAAAACAGTAGTTTAAATAATGAATACCTAGAAATATTGAACAGAAATGCAAGTTAATTATCTATTAAATTGACACTCCACTGTCCAAATAAATAAATAAAAATGACTGTTTAGTAGATATACACCAAAGGAAAAAATGCATGAATTTAATTAAGCATCTATTAATTTTGGGCATCTCTAAATACAGTTTGCAAAACCTGCAGATCTCTTGTCTGTTGCCTTTGCAAGCCCTCCCCTTCTTCCCCAGCCCAGACGTTCTGTGTCTGTCCAATCACAGACTTCCCAATGCAGCACAATGAGAAGTCTTTGCAAGGCTCTGAGCAATTGTCTGCCTCTTGAGTTTAGCTCCACTGAGCTTAACAACCTGGAAGTAGCACGAACTGTTGTCTGCTTCAAAGTCAGAGGGGTGTAACAAGGTATTTTGTAAAAGTGCCAATTTCTATCGAATTCTGCACTTTTTCTAAAATGAAAAATAGAGGACCTGGCTGCGTGGGAGTGGGCAAAGTGGAGGAGAGATTAATGAATCCAAGTTTTACCATAACACAAAGTTGCTCTGGTGCTGAGAATTAGTCTTTAAACAACTAGAGTACTCGTAGGCAGATTCTGCTGCATGCTTTCATTTTCTCAAGTGTGGTCAACTTGTATTTACTATTGTTTGTATTAGCGGATCCTTTCCTGGGTTTCTTTGACATCTCTGCCTTATGATGTCAATGTCTCCTTTGCGTTTGTTATCCATATTGTCCCTCAATATTCTCAAGACTATGGCTTCCTTCATGCAGTTTGGTGACATCTGTGGTTCCGCTATTACAGGTGTATGGTGGGTGATATTATTTCGCTAAAAGTTGTTGTGAATGTTATGTAACCCCAGCAACTGACAATCGATCAGTAATAGTTTTCTATGACAAATTGGTTTTATTTTTTAGTTCTGTTATTTTGTTTATTTGTTCTATTGAATTAATTATGTTGTGTTAGATTGTGCATTAGATGTATATTTTTTGTTAAATGTGGCTTTTCAGTTATTTCTCCCATTACATTTTTTTTCCTCATTTCAAATATTATTCTGCAGAAGCTGGATGGTTGTTTCCATGGAGACTTTAGATAGAGAGGTCTGGGGTTTTTCATTGAAATGTAGATTGGGGCACATTTTATGTTTTATGTTCTGAGGGCTGTCTTTCCTCTGCAACTTCCTTTGTTCGTTCACTGTTTGGAAATGTCAGGGGGTTTAATGTCAGGTGAGATTCCAAATAATTCACACATTGTAAGTGTCGCGCACTTCTAAGTGTGAAAGAACCTTACATTATATACATCAGCTATGAGAGAATATAAGAACGATGTGACTCATCCACCCACCAGCCCTCTTTTTATTTATTGGAAAACTGTATAAACCATGTTGTAGCCTTTTTAGAGATTTCTTACTGTACGGGCTACTGCATGTAATATTCGATGCTACATAGAGGGTGACGTCCTTTCCCTCATAATGAACAGGAAATATTACATGAATGACATTCCAAACCCTTAATCTCCAGGAAAACATTATACAAATGCACTGGCGTAGTTAGGTTACCTGGCACCTGGGGCAGAAGTGTACATTGCCACTCCATCCCTCTCCCCCGAACTGTAGAATATTTTTGTTGTTGTCTCTCTGCAATGCCCCTAAGACCCTTCTGGTAAATTACAAACACATACTCACATTTCTATACAAACATGTTCACACACTCACATTTATGCACACACACACACACAAACAAACATCCATACTCACACACACTCACATTTATGCACACACACACATCCATACTCACACACAAATATCCATGTTCATACACACTCACATTTATATACACACAAACATCCATACTCACATTTATATACACACATGAACATCCATACTCACACACACTAACATTTATATATACACACAAACATCCATATGAACACACACTCACATTTATATATACACACAAACATCCATACTCACACACACTCACATTTATATGTACACACAAACATCCATACTCACACACACTAACATTTATATGTACACACAAACATCCATATGAACACACACTCACATTTATATATACACACAAACATCCATATGAACACACATTCACATTCAAATACACATTCTCAAATTCATACACACACGCGTATTCACGCACTCAAGCATTGATGTTACATCACGGTCAGAGCACAGACTGGTGCCAGCAGCTCCCTTGCTGCACTATCAGTGGTCTGTTACGTGAAATCTGAATACCATTACTACAACATACAGAATCCAGTACTCACAACTTCAAAGCATATATATAACATTCTTTCTCTGTAAAATGGTTGTTCTCATATTTCCGTTGTTCACTTACATATCTTTTTGTTTTTTCATTAACCAGCTAACAATGTCTGCTTTTATGGTGAGTGCTCCTACTACTGCTCTATGGAACACGGTTTGTGTGGCAAGCCCGACCTTCTAGAGGGGTCAATGGCCGCCTTTCTACCAGACAGTGCACTAGCAAAGAGAAAGTCTTGGCGGAGCCCTTGGAGACGCTCCTATCACAAGAGTAAAAAGGCAGAGTAAGTAAAAAGAGATTACAGCATGTAGCTGACAGATGGTCAAGTCAATTGCATTGCATTTATAGTTCTCTCAAAAAGGATACGGAACACAAAATTGTTCATATTTGAGTGGTTCTTTTCTTATTCCTTTCTGTTTTATTATTTTCTCCCAATCACACCACGCATGTGTTGCATGTGTTTATAAATAGATGTTGAAATTAGTCTGGTGGGTATGTGGCTCATTTTTCAGGACAAGAGCTAGGCAAATATCCTATTGTCCTGAATCTTGGCATGTTGTCCGTTTTGTAGGGTTTAGAAATGGTGTGTAGGTTTGTAACCTAAATTGTTTGTAGGTTTGTAATTGTCATTTGTGTGTAGGTTTGTAACCTAAATTGTTTGTAACTGTCATTTGTTGCATTCGTGCAATAATAGAAAATGCATTCTTTGTTTTAAAAAAAACAAAAACTGAAAGGGGACATGAGTGGAAAAGAAGCACATGACTGACAGATAGGATTCCTAAATCAGGAGGACTTTTCTTTTTTCCAAGACTGTTCGATAGCAGAAAATAGCTGTATAAGGCACTTGGGGGACAAAGAGACAGCAAAGTGGCTCATGACTTATGTACATGTATTCATGGGAAGCAGGTCCTTAGCCATAGAGATAGTTCTATGTTTTTTGCAGAATATTGCATAGATTTTTTTGAGAAATTCTTCAAGTATATTGATTAGTAAATAGGCGATATTATATGATGCATATAAAATGTACACATATAGCAAATTGTTATGGATATTTTGATAATGCCATATTTTACCGTATTAAATATCTTTAAATCAATGAGGAATCAGTGAGGAGTTTTGTCCCAGTTTTGTCCTTCTGCAGTTTTTTTACAGCATATCGGCAGATTTATTAAACAATCGCTTTTTTCACTGAAAAATAACCACAAGCTTATAATGTTTAACAAAGGTTTTATAATGTTTAATATGCAGTAACTGGATATGAGCCTCCTAAGTAAAGCATTGACTGGTTTATCACTGCTAATTGAGTTCATTATGTACTGTATAGTATATGGTTAAAATACATCCACATTAATAAAATATTTCCACTGTGCGTAAATCAAACGCTTATACAATACTACTACACAGAGGGACGTACGCAATCTGTAGTTCTGTTTCCTTATAAAAGCTTTAGAGAGTCATCTGCTGGCTGGATACTGCAACTGCATACAATCCTGCACTGACACTTTACTTGCTCTGCCTCTTTGTTACCATTCTTTGTCTTTGTAGCATTTGTAAAACACACCTTGAAAAGTACCCATGTTCTTAACATAAACCTTCAAAATCTTTTTTCTGCTCTTATAATAATGTCAACCGTTAGCATTTATTTTTTTGCTCTATAAAGAGAGAAGCTGTGGTGTGTGTACATCAGTGGATGAATAATGAGAGGGTATCCAGATGCGTGGCCGTCAACTATTCCCCAATAACCTTTCTGCAGTAGTTGCTGATAGCTCATTTAACCCCTTAAGGACACACGACATGTGTGACATGTCATGATTCCCTTTTATTCCAGAAGTTTTGGTCCTTATAGGGTTAAACAAAATATGAACATTTTATCAGTGTGTGTGTGTTTGTGTCAGTGTGTATGTTTGTATCTGAGTCAGAATGTTTGTGTACCTGTGTACCTGTTTGGGTGTGACAGTTTGTGCGTGTATCTGTGTCAGCAGTTCATCTGTGTGTGTCCATGCGTATTTATTTATTAATGCCATTTATATAGCGCCATTGCCATATATATAACGCCAACAGATTCCGTAGCGCTTTACAATATTAAATGTGTATCTATGTCAGTATGTGTGTGCGCAGACGTTTATGAGTATATGACCATACATCCCAGCAGTCAAGCACCAACACTATAAACCAATGCGCCCCTGCATTCAAACGCCAATACTACATACAGACACATCCCTGCATGCAAACACCAACACTACAAATAAATGTACACCCGCATTCAAATACCAACACTACATACAAAACCACCACTGCATTCAACTGCAAACACTAGACATAAATGCACACCTGCATTCAAAAGCCAACATTACATACAGACACACCACTGCATAACAGTACACACAAGTACACGCCTATATTCACATACACACACGCCATACAAAAGCATGCTTACATTTAAACGCACACTGCTCACGAATCCAACCCTGCAAGGATCGGAAAACGTTAGATCTCCAGCTGGAAGAGCATTGTTGGAGTTGCATGACAGTTGAGGATCTACCTTTATTCCATACTTGGGCTAGAGGGGGTCACAAACAATTTCTTCCACAAGGGCCCTCTCTACATTAGTTCTGCCACTGGTTTGAAGGTTTATTTGTCTTCTACATCAAGTAGCTTTCCTCGGATTAATACCGAACCAACTGTAGTTGTTATATAGTGTGCATCATTCAGTGCTGTCCCTACTACTCCTGCAAGACACTTCCTGTGTGAGAGACTATTAGAGGGAAGATGAGAAATGATCGAATTTCTGTCCACCCTCACACACAGACACTGAAGGAGCTGGGACAGCACTGAGTTGTACACCGTTCTTGCATAGGAGGCTGACTGGACTAAAAAAGATACTCGCCAAGGCTCCTGGAACTTATCTCTCCACCAGCCCACTTTAACTCCAAAGAGGCACATTATGAGTGCTAAAAATAGGTGTCCCAAGAGGACCTGTGCCTGTAGGCAGGTGTTTACTCTACCTAAAGGGAAATCCAAACCTGCCAGTCAGTGAAACCTGATGCATCCAAAACAGAGTATTTCTACTAAAGCATTTTTATTGGTCCAACAGGATTTTAGGATGACAAGCTTTTGGAAAATAATTTCTGAAAACTAGTAATAAAAAAGCTATTTAAATATTGTATTAAATATTTAACCTTTTAGTTTGCATATCTGTATATCGACCATTACCTGTATCTCACAGAACTAACATTCCAAAGTGAATTAAAGTTATAATCTGTGTTGTAACCAATGTTTCAACAAAATATACAAAACGATTGCAGGTACTTAAAAGGTTACTCTAATCACCATGACCACTTCAGTGATTTAAAGTTCAGAGTTTCACCCCTTTGCTGCCTGAGATGGAACACCTCCTCCAGCAGTGTCATTGGGGCATCATTAGCCAGCCCGGAACAAGATCTCCCAACTGGCTAATGTCAATTCTGTGCATATTTTTATACATATAGGGCTGTTTATTGGCTGAGACTGTTCAGCTGATGCTCACAAAGAATGGCTGAGAGAAAAATGCTGCAGCAGCCGAACATTTGTTACCTGACAGGAGAGAAGGTTTGGTGACAAGTGGGAACTTTAATTAAATTTATAACTAAAAATTGGGACTACTTTTCTTCATGTAAAGCAGTCAGGTTGACAAAACTTGACAATGGGAGGAGCCTGGCTTTCAATTCAAGGCCCTTTGCCATTTACAGAATTTATTCTAAATATGGCAGCTAAAATGCCTGTCAAACAGCATAGTGTAACGGATCTCCTATACTCCGACTGAGTACATCTGTTGTAAGTCTCCCAAATCCCAATTGAAACAGT